ACTAGCCCAGGGTGCTCCAACCTGGCCTTGGACACTTCCTGGGATGCGGCAGCCACAGCTTTTCTGGGAAATCCATCCCAGTCTCCCCTCACCCTCACAGCCAGGAATTCCTTCCCAATATCCTGTCCAAATTTTCCCTCTTTCACTTTGAAGCCATTCCCTGTGTCCTGTCCCTCCATCCCTTGTCCCAAGTCCCCCTCCAGCTCTCCTGGAGCCCCTTTAGGCCCTGGAAGGGGCTCTTAGGTTTCATCCACAGGATAAACCCAACCCAGAGATGGAAAAGGGGACAAAAGCTTTGGAAAAGCAGGTGTTGACTGGGTTAGGAACTGGCCACATATTCCTATTCATTTCTCCCAGGAATTACCAGGGAGAAATAAATCACTTACCACATTCATTAAATTTATCTTTCAGCATTTTCCATGTAAAATCAAAAGGCAGCTGTGGAAAAGAGAAGAACAAACCATTACTGAGGGCTCTGCTGAACCATCTGCAACATTCCCAACTCCCCAAAATCCCAGGATAGCCAGTGAGAGAACCACAGAGTGCAGGTCCTCCAGGAGCTCTTCTCCTGGGAAGGAAATGGCTCCAGCTCCCAAAATTTGGCAGCATCCAGTGTTAGATATTGCGAGTGAAAACTGAGCAGGGATGAGAGCAATGGGTCAGCCTTGATTCCATGGAATGGGGGGAGAGGCAAGGAAAAGGGGGGGAAAGAAAAGGGAGGGAAAGGCAAGGAAGAGGGGGGGAAAGAGAAAAGGGAGGGAAAGGAAAAGGGGGAAAAGAAAAGGAGAAGGGGGGAAAATAGAAAAGGGGGGAAAGGAAAGGAAAAGGGGGGAAATAAAAGGAAAAGTGGAGGAAGGAAAGGAAAAGGGGGGAAAGGAAAGGAAAAGGGGGGAAATAAAAGGAAAAGTGGAGGAAGGAAAGGAAAAGGGGGGAAAGGAAAGGAAAAGGGGGGAAAGGAAAAGGGTGAGAAAGAGAAAAGGGTGAGAAAGAGAAAAGGGTGGGAAGGGAATGAAAGAAAAAGGAGGGAAAGAAAAGGAAAAGGGTGGGAAGGAAAAAAAAGAGTGGGAAGGAAAAGGGCAGAAGGAGGGAAAGAAAAGGAAAGGTCGGAAAGAAAAGGGGCACAAAGGCAAGGAATAGGGTGGGAAGGCAAAGAAAAGGGCGGGAAGGCAAGGAAAGGTGGGAAAGAAAAGGGTGGGAAGGCAAGGAATAGGGTGGGAAAGAAAAGGAAAAGAACGGGAAGGAAAGAAAAGGGTAGGAAGGAGGGAAAGAAAAGGAAAGGTGGGAAAGGGCAGGAAGGCAAGGAAAAGGGCAGGAAAGAGAAGGGTAGGAAGGCAAGGAAAAGGGTGGGAAAGAGAAGGGTGGGAAAGAGAAGGGTGGGAAGGGAAGGAAAAGGGCAGGAAAGAGAAGGGTAGGAAGGCAAGGAAAAGGGTGGGAAAGAGAAGGGTGGGAAGGGAAGGAAAAGGGTGGGAAAGAGAAGGGTGGGAAGGGAAGGAAAAGGGCAGGAAAGAGAAGGGTGGGAAGGCAAGGAAAAGGGTGGGAAAGGGTGGGAAGGGAAGGCAAAGGGGGCCAGAGAGGCCTGACTCACGTTCCTGACGAAGATCTGACAGGCTTTCCGGGCCACCCCCGCCGCGGGGCCGCCGGCTCCTCCCAGGGGTCCCGCGAAGTTGCCGGCGAAGTTGCCCCGCTCCATGTCCATGGGCCTCTCGAAGTTGCTGCCCATGGCCAGTCCCATGCGCTCGATGCCCGCTCCCATGCCCTGCCCCAGGGGGGGGCCCATCCTCTCCATGTTGGCGGCTCCCAGGCGCTCCAGGCCCATCCTCTCCATGCCGGCGGCTCCCATGCGCTCCAGGCCCATCCTCTCCATGGGCGGCGCCCCGATGCGCTCCAGCCCCGCCGGCATCCTCTCCAGGACCTGCCCCATGCCCGCGCCCATCCCGGCGGGCACCATGCGCTCGATGCCCAGCCCCATGCGCTCCATGCCCGAGCCCATGCGCTCCACGCCCGAGCCCATCCGGTCCATGGCGGTGCCCACGCGGTCGATGGCAGCGCCCATGCGGTCGATGCCGAAGCCGATGCCGGAGCCCATGCGGTCGATGCCGGAGCCCATGCGCTCCATGGCCGGGCCCATGCGCTCCATGTTGGGCGCCAGGTGGTCGATGCCCAGCGGCGCCATGCGCTCGATGCCCGAGCCCATGCGCTCCATGGCCGGGCCCATGCGCTCCATGTTGGGCGCCAGGTGGTCGATGCCCAGCGGTGCCATGCGCTCGATGCCCGAGCCCATCCGCTCCATGGCCGGGCCCATGCGCTCCATGTTGGGCGCCAGGTGGTCGATGCCCAGCGGTGCCATGCG